TGCCAGTGGGTGTGTGGGAGCCGAGAAAGGCTCTGGAGAAAGGTAACTCACTACTGTTAGTGCAGCACTTCCATGAGAACTAAAGGAAATCAGAAGAGGCCTTTATGGAAGGAAAACAAATCGATTCCTAAAGCTTCCTCCATGCGACATCTGTCAGCAGAGTCTAAACTAAGCCTGTGGCGCAGGCCTACGATCTCATGTTCTCAGGAGGTTGACACAAGCGACAGCGGCTTAAAGGCTGCACACGTCCCTGCTCACCTGTGCTCCCAAGTCCCCCACCATTTCCAGTGAGCTATGACTGCTACACCTCTGCATTTGGCGCTGCTGGGGACGGGCAATAACAGACAGTTTCTGTTGGAGTCTGCTAGTCTTTGAGAAAAATAAGATAAAACATTCTAATTATTTCCTTTCCCTGAGTATAAACGTAGTCACACACACACACACACACACACACACACACACACACACACACACACACACACCACCGATTCAGTGAATCAGAAGAAGCCTTTAGTTTCTATTTCTATTATTTTCCATATGGTCTAGTGGCCCCTCATGGAAAACATTTGGGAGAAAATAATCTATGTGTCACTTACATCTGTGAGAAATTTCTTTAAAACAAACCAATCCAGGGAGGCTGGCAAGTGACTACCACCATGATTCTTCAGCTTAAACAAATATTTCCCTACATTTGCCCACTAATTTCCATAAGATAGTGCATGGTGGAGTTAATTATTCAAGTGACTGAACACAGACACTGGTTAGTATTAATGATCCACATGTGACTACCACGAAAGGCTCCTTTTCCATAATGTCCATTTTTAACCCAAGAAGTTTACACTGAACACTCACAAAAACAGCTGCGCCACTTCAAGGGGAAAAAAATGTTAAATCCAGTCAATTAACCAATGTAAAATATAAACTTTCAAAAGTTAAGTGTAGCATGATGATACAAAAACCAAAAAAAAAAAAAAAAAAAAAAAAAAGGTAGTTTTTTTGAATTCTCTGTGTATCCCTGGCTATCCTAGAACTAGCTCTGTAGACCAGGCTAGCCTCAAACTCATAGAGATTCCCCTGCCTCTGTCCCCCAAGTGCTGGGATTAAAGGTGTTTGCCACTACTGCCTGGTAGTTTTTGGTTTTAAAGCTACTAAAAACTGAAGCTATTGATGAAGAAGGAGGGGGAGGGGAGAGAAGGAGGAGGAGGAATGGGAAAAGGAGGGGGACGGAGGATATGGTGGTCTGAATGTAACTGGCCCTCATAAGCTCATAGGGAGTGGCGTTATTAGATGTTCCTTTGTTGGAAAAGGTGTGGCCTTGTTGGAGGAAGTGTGTCACTGTTGGGGTGGGCTTTGAGGTCTCCTTCGCTCAAGCTTTGCTCAGTGTGACACTAAGACCACTTCCTCTTGCCTGCAGGTCAGTATGTAGGACTTTCAGCTCCTTCTCCAGCACTATGTCTGCCTGCATGCCACCATGACAATAATGGACTAAACCTCTGAACTGTAAGCCAGCCCCAATTAAATGTTTTCCTTTATAAGAGTTGCTGTAGTCATGGTGTCTCAGCACAGCAATAGAAACAGAGAAAGAGAAAAAGGAGGAAGTAGAAAAAGTAAGGTGATTGACACAAATGGTCTATTTTGTGAAGTGGGGTTCAGGGGGTGATATTGAGCTACCATTTAAAAGGCCTTGGTGGGATGGGTTTCTACCTTGTTGACAAGCCCTCCCTGTTCAATACTACGCCAGTTCCATGGCACCACTATAACAAAACACCACAAAATAGGAAGGCAGGGTGTTGGCAAAGTTGATTTCTTCTGAAGTTCATTGAACCCACTCCATGCATCCTCTCTCTGGCGGATTGCTAGCAGAGTGGGTGTTTTCTGACTTTAAGACCATCGTCCTGCTCTCTGTCTTCACGTTCATGGGGCCTTTCCCTGCATGTATGTCTGCTTCTGGATCTTTAGCTCCCTATTGACTAGGATGCCACCTATGGTGAACCAGGCCCCATCTTCATTTCTTTTCCTGTTACTGTGATAAAAAGCCCTGAACAAATGCAACTTAGGGGAGACAGAATTTATTTTAGCTCATAACTCCAGGTTACATTCCATCTTTGTGGGAAGTCACAGCTACAGCAGCGACAGACAAATTCATCACATTGTATCCAGAGTGAAGAAGCAAAGAGTACTGAACACATGCATGCTTATGCTCAGCTCACACTCTGTTTTATTATACAGTCAAGGACCCAAATCTACTTTTAGGCTGGGTCTTCCCACATCGATTAACATCATCAAGACAGTCCCACACAGACATGTTCAGAGGCCAACCTAATCTAGACCACCCCTCACTGAAGCTTCCTCCCAGATGATTCTAGAATGTGTCAAACTGACAGTTTAACCATTAACACAAAGCCCACCCTAGCAACCTCATTTTAACCCGACCTTCCCTACACAGACCTAACACCACATATTACAAAGTTGGTATATTTCACATCATGTTTTCCATAGTCTCAACAATATCAAGTCATACTTGATCTTGATAGATTACCACATTAACAACTACCACACAACATTTTTTGTAGTAGTTTATCTAATCTACCCACAACACACTCTGGGAACATTTTAGCTCCTCTGTTGTTTCCTCTTTTGTACCCATTTCCTAGGTGCTAACTTGCCCTTTGACCTCTGCTCTGTAGCACAGCAAGTGAGGCAGAGGAATCTGAGAGAGGCATAGTCAAGAAAACCAGACTCTAGCAACAGCCCCTCCCTCCTGATGGGCACTGGTGAAAAGGACAGGGTGGGAGTCCTCAAGAGAAAGGACTTACAGCAGAGCTCACCAGGTAGCTGCCACTCAGCACACAGAACTACCTTTTACTCCTTACAATGTCAGGTCTTAGGCTGTCCAAATGTCCCGAACGGAGCTCAACCTGGACTATAGGAGGATTTCTGGTGCTTAGATAAAAGCCAGCATTCCTCAGGAACTTGTGAAACCAGTTCCCATCTGCCAAAAGGCATCATTTCCCCTTACCTCTCACAGAAGGGACATATGGCTACCTGTGGTTGCATATCAAAGCTCATGCCAGCCCTCAGGCTCCCTTAGTATCACAAGTACCAGTTATACATTCTCAAGTCCCTACCCCTACCAGGCTTATTCACTCTCCTTATAACCCACTATTCTCAGGGGTCTTACTCTTTCTCTCTCTCTCTGTCTATCTATCTGTCTATCTATCTATCTATCTATCTATCTATCTATCCATCCACCCATCTCTATCTCTTGTTATTTTCTTGCTCTCTCTATACCCTATTCTGTCTTGTTACCTCACTATTGTCTCTATTTTTCTCCACTTCCCCAGCCCTGTGCATGTCCAGTCTGCTGACCATGTTCAGTCTACTTCTTTTCTCTCTGTTCTTGACTCTTCCAGATGCCTCTGGCCATTCTCTCTCTCTCTCTCTCTCTCTCTCTCTCTCTCTCTCTCTCTCTCTCTCTCATATCGACAATAAAAATCTTCCTTAATAACAGAGGTGGTCATGTGGACAGTTTCTTTACCCCCCTTCACAGACACTCAAATCTCACTCTGTATGTATGTGAGCAATCTACAAGCCACTGAAGTCCAACAGGAGGGCCAAAAGCAATGCTGAAATGGAGCCTAATCCAGGAGGTCTCAGGAACCCTGAAAGGAAAGGCAGGGTTTCATACTTCATACTCCTCCCAATCTAACCTGCTGCTCAGTGGAGATTCAGCAGTCTCACTTTGGATTCCTGCCAACACCATCTGCCTCAAGTCACTGAGGAATCAGGTTCTGAGGAGAAATGGACCCCCCAGGTCTACTCAGTATGCTAGGTATGAAACATTTACTCTTGGCTTACACTTTCAGCCCACAAAGCCCCCTCCCTCCCTTTTCTGTTTTGGGGATAGTGTCTTGAATTCCTGTGCTTAGATGATCCTCCTGCATCATCTTCTGAAGAGGTGGTATAATAGGTGGGCACCCCCATGCCTGGCTTGCAAAGGTTTTTATGAACATGATAAAGGTGGGAAGGTTCAAATATGTGTTATCAAGAGTTGCAATGAGATAGAGGCACCAGAGAGAGTTTTAACTGTCCAAAGTAACTCTCCACAACTTCCCAGGAAGTCTGAAGACATGGAAAACACTTTAGCTCCAGAAAGTATCATTGAACCTAGTGAAATGCTATAGTTTTTTAAAAAATAAGAAAGAGATTGCCTGGCATTGCCTGGGTATTGCAGTGAGGTTTAAGGGCCCTGGTCCTAACACTGCTGACTTGGAACAGGCAGCTCAGGTAAGCTCTACATGCAGATTTCTCCGAAAGAACCCACTGCCAAGGAAAGTGCCTTAAAGAACTGGAATCCTGTTGAATAAGCCAAGTACCATGGGATGATGTGCCTGAATGAGAAACATTATAGATCTAGAGGAAAACAGCATAAGCTAGCTAGCTAGCTGCTATCTATCTATCATTTATCTGTCTTTCTTTCTATCCATCTATTCATCTATTTTTTTCTTTCTTTGTTTCTAGCCATCTATCTATCTATTTATCTTTCTATCTATCTATCTATCTATGGGCTGATTAAGCAAGTGACTTGTTGTCTGTTCTGAGTGTGCACATAAAATAATTACAAGCCTTAAAAATTATTTGAGTGAAACTTCTTCCACCCCAATTCTTATTTAATCATTGCAGTAATTTTTTAAGAAAAAAACCCGCCAAGCAGCAGCTACAATCAGGTTGAACAGACTGCTTTCTTTAAATATCTACCCTACCTCCTAGAGACATAGCACACATTCCTGAGCATGGAAGCACTAGCATTAAAGTAAAAGCAAACAAACCTAGTGATTCAGTCCTGAACTAAACAATGGGAGGCTGAACTGACCTTCCGCAATGACCTAGCATCTGGTGCACACTGGACACAGAAGAATGGGATGGGGCACAGGGGTAGAGACGCTATGCCTGAAGGGAAAAGAAAGAAATCCAATATAGCCACAATTTGTTCCTCTCACCTGTCTACGGCTTCCACATCAAAGCAGAATCTCTTCTCGATGGAGTCTGTCTTCCGCCTCGTGCAGGATTTGAGGGTGATGGACTCGTCTTCTCCCTAGTGAGAAGACACAGGCCGTCAAGGTCAGGCCAGAAGGCGGCTCTGCTCCCCTCTAGGACAAACATGGCACACAAACAGGATCTCACTTCAGCTTCTCAAATCTGTGTGTTCACAGCCTACTGAGAGGAAGACCAACCACAGAGCTTCTCAAGCAAGAATCTCCTACAGCTAAGATCTGCCTACCCTACTACTTAGTTAGCACAGGTAGAGTATGGTTGCCACTCCACATGAGCGTCTGGTACTGCTGTTTGAATCAGGTTTAATTTGCAGAGGTGACAAGACTTGAAATCAACAGCCCCCTCCTAACTGAGCATCTGTTATCTTGGGTTAGTCATCACTTCTTCAAGAACACCTTTCTGAAACAGGTTAAAGATCCCTATGTTATGCTCACACGGCACCATGTACCTCTCCATCCCCATCGTACCTCTCCATCCCCATCGTACCAATCATAGCAAAAATTGTCTGCTAAGGAAGATGAGGAATAAAATAATGTCTTCCTATCACATCTTATGGGAAGTTTACAAGACTGTGAGCACCCTAAGGACACAGACTTGGGGTCTTTGCTTACTACTCTTGTATCTTCTGAATCCACCCAGGTCCTGAATAGAACAGTGTTCAACATATAACAGTTTTATTGATATATAGCATAGGATAAATTGCATGTGCTTAACGTGTACAATTTGTAACTGTCACATCTGTAGACATCCATGAAGCTAAAACTGAATCTGAGAAAAACTTTCCTGCCAAATATTCTCACGACCCTTGGTGATCCACCTGCCTCCTAGTTCATCTCCAAGCAACCACTAGGTCTTCTCTCTGCTGTTACGGGCTGGTTTGCATCTTCTATAACCTTATGCAAACGCAGACACAGAGTAAGTATCTGGTTCTTCCATTAAGCTCGAGTATTCTGTGGTTCATCCATATCGCACATATCAAGAGTTGTTTCTTTTTACTGCTGGGTAGTGTGCCACTGTGTGAGTGGAATGGGACAGTCATATCACAGTACTGACTGCCTAGAAACACAGAAGGAGCTATCCTCAGCTTCTTTCTGTCACTGAGGAATCCATTACTGTTTCTGTTTCTCCTCCTTTTTTCTAAAAGGGGAAAATGAACAAACTTGTCTGCTCTGTTGACATAAGATGGAATGTGACTTCAAAAGATGGATGTAACCATCCACTAAAGTCAGAAAAGCACACAACATAGCCCCAGGAAGAGACCATCTATGTTCCCACACCCTGCATCTTTACCCACTTACTGAATAGCGAAGATTAGTTTTGCAGATTGAGAATTGATCTTTATTCACCCTGTACGATGTGTAAGTATGTTAAATAAAAACTCAAAGAAGTTACCTAGTAATCCCAGCTACCTGGGAGGCTGAAATAGGAGTGTCATAAACTTGAGAGGAGCCTGGGCTATATGAGTTCAAGGTTAGTAGACAACCTATCTCAGAACAAAAGGGCTGGGGATCTGGCTCTATAATAAAGTGTTTGCCTAGAATATGGGTGATCCTAGATTTGATAACTAGCTTCACAGGGGGACACAGTTTAAGATTAGGGACCTATATTGGGTCTGGAAAATAAACAGACTATTCAACATGGAGTCACACACGCAAATATTCTCCATTACAAAACCAAGCTTTTTTTAAATCTGATATCTCAAGAAACCAGAAGAAGGGGCTGGAGAGATGGCTCAATGGTTAAGAGCACTAGCTGCTCTTTCCAGAAGACCTGGATTCAATTTCCATCACCCACATGGCAGCTCACAACTGTCTGTAACTCCAGTTCCAGGGGATCTGACACCTTCACACCAATGCACATAAAATAAAGTTAAATAAATCATGAAGAAGGAGGAGGAGGAGGAGGAGGAGAGGGGAGGGGAGGAGAGGGGAGAAGAGGGGAGGAGAGGGAAGAAGAGGGGGAGAAGGGAGAGGGAGAGGGAGAAGAAGAAGGAGGAGGAGGAGGAGGAGGAGGAGGAGAAGAAGAAGAAAATCATTAAGAAGGAAGAGGAGGAGGAGGAGGAGGAGGAGGAGGAGGAGGAGGAGGAGGAGGAGGAAAAGGAAATGGGAGAGAGAATTCAGTTTCTCAAACAGATTTACTTCACCTGGCAAGGAAAACTGAAGTTTTCTCTGCCTCAATTATTACACACACACACACACACACACACACACACACACACACACACACACACACACACACACGGGGGTGGGGGTGGGGTGGAGTTTAGCCTAATGTTAACCAACTACTTTTTTCCCACTGTTTGCTCTCCTGTCCCCTCTTTACAAAATAATAGTAAGTTCATGTTATCATTGTTTGCAATGTTGGAGATGAAACCTACAGCCTGCCACATGCTAGGCAAGAGTTTTTGTTTTTTTGTTTTTTCCCCTGAGACAGGGTTTCTCTGTGTAGCTTTGCGCCTTTCCTGGAACTCGCTTTGGAGACCAGGCTAAGAGTTCTTTACTGACCTATACTCCCAGACCAAGGAAGATCACTTTGAAATGACCAATTATTTTGTGCTGGTTCTGAATTCTTCAGCCTTCCTCTGACTTAAGACCAATTTCTACTGCTTGCCTTACCACGACATTTGTTCTGCTGTACGTAATAGCGATGCCTGATTCTACAACTGAAAATAAAGCCAATTAACATCTTTCAACTAAATGAGTCTAACTCAGTCCTTTGATAAGCGTACTCACCCAAACAAGAAATCTGACCTTGCTGATGTCCAACTATAGTTCAGATTTAAAAGCTATGGGCCAGCTTCTATAATGAAAGTGTAGATGAAGTACCATAAAAAAACTGTGAGTGACATCTATAAGGGACCATCAGACAGACATTAGCACAAAAGGAGGAAGAGCTGGGCACAGTGGCACACACCTTTGATGTCAGCACTCAGGAGGCTGAGGCAGGCTGACCTCTGTGAGTTCCAGGCCAACCTATTCTTCTTGTCAAGTTCCAGATCAGCCAGGGGTACAGAGTGAGACCTTGTCTTTAAAATTAAACAATTTAAAAACTATTTTAAAAGGAGGACCATGAGATTTTGTTCTGAGGATGCAAGGAAAAAACTGTAAAGACTCTCTGCTGAACTCCTTATAGTATTAAAAAGCAGATTTCATCACCTGAAAACACTGTAACTCTGCTATGATGGTTAAGACTGCCCACTTGGCAGAATCACCTAGAGGACAATCCTCTGAGCATGCCCTTGAGGATTTACTTGATTCACTAAGATGGGGTGACCCTCCCTAAATATAGATGGTACCATTTCATGGGCTGGGGCCTCTGTAGAAAATAAAAGAAGAAAGCTGAGCACCAGCATTTGTGGCTACCTGCTTCTTCACTATGGGTACAGTAGACCTGCCACCTCCTGCTTCTGCCCCATGCATTCCCTGCCATGGTGGGCTGGATCTCCTGGAACTACAAGCTAAAACAAACCCTTCCTTCTTCAAGTGGCTTTTGTCAGTAGATGAAAGGACCCTGTAGTCAGGGCCCAGGGAGTCCAAAAGGAACAAAGGGGAAGTAGGTATAGTTAGAACCTAACGGGCAACAAAGACAGCGGAAGAGTCATGTCGGGTGTGGAAGGACACCATACCCACTACATTAGGTCCAAACAACAGTATCAACACATCACATGACTCCTCTGTCCAAACTGTGTGGACATCACCTCCAGACCCCTACACAGTTGTATCTCCTGTTTCCTTCATTAGAAAGCTTGGGGAATGGTGGGATCATGAAAAGATTTGGCTTCAGAAGCCAGAGGTTCTAACTCCAGATGGAGAGTTTAGTATACTCACTCTGGAACTCAGGTATATAAACTTAGAAGTAAATTGATCGCTCTGATCCCCAATTTCTCCCTTGGTGAAAAGGAGGAAAGCCAGATCAAACAGCACAACACAGGATAATCAAAGAGTCCAGACCACTGCAAAGTGGAGTATAAATATAACCAGTTATGATCTACTTGTTAGAGTAGTATGTTCCTAAGGAGGCCCTTCTCAGGCTCTGCCCATATGCAGGAGCTCAAAAACCCACTGAGGCACTCTATGGGATCTCACAGAAGTCTTGGAAACCCACACACCAGCCACTGCACGGTTCTCCACCCTTTACTAACAAGGGCAATAAGAAAGGAACTGAGAAATACAACTGAGCTCATTAAAGACTTGGAAATATGGAAGAAGTCCTGAAGCAAAGCCTGTCAAGGGAAATAATGCAGTCAGCTGGTTTCTGGGAGGGGCGATAGGTAGAAAAGCACTATGACCCATTCCAAACAAAGTGGGCTTATTTCTGTGAGAGCCAGGGGACACCTAGTAACCTAGGAATAAGTTGTAATATTCTCTTCTAACTCTGCTAACGTGTGTGTGTGTGTGTGTGTGTGTGTGTGTGTGTGTGTGTGTGTGTGTATGTGTGTTTTCCTGAGATTATTTGTAAGTCAATACCACCTCTGCCCAAAAAAAAAGAAAAAAATGAGAAGTGCTTTCTGACTGCTTGGATACCTGGAAGGGACAGAGATGCTGACAAAAGACTTTATTGTCACTGAAGTAAGAGAGCTCCAGGAAGAAAGGCTGGCAGCTGGAGAGCAGAGCCGAGCACGGCACTGTCCGGCACTGTCCGGCACGGCTAGCCTCTATGCTCTCCCCATTGTACACGTGAATGCCCTCCACACCTTAACTCAACATGGTACACAAAAATGTCCATAGAAGGCCAGCGTGGAGGGCTAGCAAAGTACTAACTTACCAAGATATCAGACACAACGGAAAAAAATATTTAAACCAGCGATAGAACCAGAGGAATTACTCAAAATCGATTCCAGATATTCAAAAAGATTCAAAACATACAGGCTGAGAATGGAGGCAGAGGCAAAAGAACCACCAGGGGTGGAGGCCAGTCTGACTGCACGTGAGTTCCAAGCCAGCCTAGGCTACACAGTGAGACTCTGTCTTACAGAAAGGGACTGGCAGAAGAGGAAAACTATATTCTTAGTAAAACAGTTACATATACCGACAAGGAAATAGTTGCAAAAAATTTGAGAGGCAATATTCAAAGTTAGTAACTGGAAATTTTTTTTCAGTTCTGAATTAAGGTAAAATCTTAAATCCAAGGTGGCCAAAATTTTCCAAGCAATCAACTTAAAAAAAAGAAAATTCCGGCCGGGCGGTGGTGGCGCACGCCTTTAATCCCAGCACTCGGGAGGCAGAGCCAGGCGGATCTCTGTGAGTTCGAGGCCAGCCTGGGCTACCAAGTGAGTTCCAGGAGAGGCGCAAAGCTACACAGAGAAACCCTGTCTCGAAAAACCAAAAAAAAAGAAAAAAAAAATTCCATCCTAGGATATGATGAAGTACAAAGTGCTGAGGGGAGAAAAGGAAGGTAGGCAGCCCAAGAGAGACACAGATCATCTCTGTAGGGGAGGCATCTGACTGCCAAAGGTAGCAGGCAGAGACAACTGTCCGGACGGAGGCAGGCAAGAGGCAGAATGCTGGAGAAGGCAAGGAGAATCCCAATAGCAGTGCTAGGGAGCCTTCCCTAACCTGGTATTCTCTTCTAAAAGATAGCCACAGCGTATCTTCCATCCCATAGGGCCCAAGACCAGGAGACAGAGGGGAACGGAGGAAGAGAACTATGTCCGGCTAGCCTTGAGCTGTCTCAGATCCACACTGCTTCAATTGTAGCTACTGTTGGACTGAACTGAGCCTCAACCTCCTACCCATCAAATGTTCTCCAAATCCCTGATTCATAAAGACTATGCAGAATATTAAGATAGCTGGTATGGCTTTAAAAGTTGCAAGGTTTAGAGGTAACTTGTTAAACAGAAATTAATAACTTAATTCATCTAAACTGCCCACTGGCAGCTCCAGGGATCAAGCAGGAGAGGCACAAGTGAGTTTCATAGGAAGATGTCAATTAACCACGACTTTCTAGTAACCCACTGATATTTGACACATTTAATAGTGTATACATGTAAAATAAGACTCTTCATTACAGTTAATAATGCTAACAATCCACTCAAGAGGCAGAGGCAGGAAGATCTCTGTGAGTTCGAGGCCATCCTGGTCTACTGAATGAGTTTTAGGATAGCCAGGAATGTTTCACAGAGAAACCCTGTCTCAAAAAACACACAAACAAATAAATAAAATAATGCTAACAATGACTATTCTAACCATTTTCAGGGAAATGAGCCTCTTACAATTACTGCAGAATTAGACAGTCTTACAGTAAAACACTGGACTCTTAGACATGTATTGTGATCATTACCTGTTAGTCAAGCAAGAAATTGTCACAGTGAACTCACCCCCTTTCCTCCTGACTTTTGGTCAAATGGAACCATGGTGATCTGTTTGGAATCCCGTTGGTATGTACAGTAGTGCTTCACCCAAGAAGTTCCAAAGTGACCTGCAAGGAAATGTTGCCCATTAACCATCTATACACATCCACGGTATGCTGCAAATCATTAACTGCCATAACACAGAGATGGACCACAATGCTCAGGTACTCAGGCATAATGATCTCCTCCACCCTGACGCTCTTTAAAGAACAATATACTCCCTATACAGCCAGACTGAAACAGACAGAAATCTGACCCACGGGCTGAAAGCAAAACAAAATCAATGCTTTCCCCACCCAGATATACAGGAGCTCTACCTCCCACTAATGCTACATCCAGTGCGTCTTCAAACACAGGGGAAACGTCGGTTCCCATCATCAATCTCCACTTAAAGTTTCCATTTTCCCCCCTGACTGAGGTAACTGAGGCAAGAGCACGGGAGGGCTCTTCTAAGTGGCAGTCGCCATTTCCATCTGGGCCACGACATCGTGCCTCCCACACAGCTGCCCAGTGACTAACCTCAGGGCTTCTGACCTACTTCCAAACCCCTAATTTTTACTTCAGCGGAACTCAAAAAGATCTGAAAAGCAGACATGGAAACCTCAGAGACACCAGAGATGCAGACTGGAAGTGACTAAATGCCTAAATGCAATCTAAGGAGTCTGTCTCAAAATTCTCCCCCAGGAAAGAGGGCAACATCACAGTACCAAGGCCCACCAAAGTCTCTGGCTGTACCCGGTGCCTGGCCAATCACTTTCTTTTCAACAACAAAGTACTATCAAAGGAAAAAGGCATTATCAGCCTGCAAGGACTTCAATCAATATTAATTTTAGATGTTTACAGAGATCACACAATAGAAATGTTCAAAATCAACAACACCATGTAAAGAGAGTCAGCAGCCACTTAGTGATTATTAATGGTTTAGCATGATTGCCAAATATAAATATTGGATATCATTTACTAACCTGGAAAAGAAACATAGGGACTACAGAGACAGCTTGGTTAATAAAGCACTACAAGGGTCCTCAAAACCCACATAAAAATAATTAACTAATTAATTATTTTTTAAAAGCCAGGTTTATTGGTACACAGTTGGGGAGGTAGAGACAGATCCTTGGGGTAGTCTGCCCAGCCTACTCAGTGGCCTTCAGACCAATAAGAAACCTATTCCGAAAAAAAAAACAAGGTGAATGTCACCTAATAAACAACACCTGAGTCAATCTCTGGCCATCATATGTACAGATACACATATATAACCACACACAAACATACACACACACACACACACACACACACACACATGCATTCTCTCTCTTTTCTCTTCTCTCTCTCTATAGATAGATAGATAGATAGATAGATAGATAGATAGATAGATAGATAGATATAGATATATATAGAGAGAGATAGATATAGATATCACACAGGCACATGCACACATACACACAGCAATACATTAGTCATTAAAGATAATTTTAAAAATACCAAACATTCTCAGAACTTGGGAGAAGTTCCAGTGACTACACAACTCAGAGATTCCAGAAGTGCTCTGGCTTGACAATGTGGATGTCAAGGTATATAAAGTAATAGATTATAGCCTGTGAGTGAAACGTGAATCTTAAGGGTTTATTGACAATAGAAAGATAGGGATGGACAGATGCTCTGACAAGTGGGCAGATGGATAGACAAGAAGGGTGAGTGAAAAGAAGTAATAAATTCGGCAACACTGGTGAAAGTGGGAAATCTCCATCATAGCACAGATCAGTCTAGGCAAGGATCAATAGGTCACAGCCCTATGGAGAGAAACATGGCAAAGAGAAAGCTATTTACATAATTGTAAGGTGACTCCCACAGAACGCTAGTTAGTTACAAAGGGAAAACAGTGACCATACAGTGAAGGGACAACACTATGTCTTGGTGGAAATGAAGACCATCAGGGGACCGATTGGCACCATGACGGAGCATTAGAGCAGAATGGCTCAGGAAAAACTGAGTGTTCAGGAGAGTAGTGCACATATCCACAGCCATGCACAGAAAAAAAGGAGGGGTGATACGAGGGAAGCATTGAAAAATTGTGGATCTCAGTAAGTTCATGTTTTCTTTATACCATTCTTGCAACTTTCCTGTGAGCTTGAAATTATCAAGAAACAGTAAGTTCCAAAACTATACTGTATCCTAATGAAATGCTTGAAGTAGTGTGCTAGAAAACCAAAAAAGTAACAAACGTATCAGTGACAAGAGCATGTGAAATGTTTGACTAGAACTGTGTAATGTACTATGAGCAAGAGAGAGCACTGATCCCACACGTGGCACAGGTGAAGAACAACAGCCTTTGTATTACAGGGGCACAGTGACCTCCATCCTTGCCTTCCTGAGCCTTTGTTTTCTAAGGTACCACCAACCATGGGCAGTGAGATGAGAGAGTCTGCCCACATAGCAAGGAGGGCGTCACTCCGTACTAGGAAACGAAGCACAGAAACGAATGACTTCCGCTTCCTGTGACTTACCCCCTCAAGCTCAGTCCTCAAAGAATATGGAAGAAAAAGCCCTTACCATAAACAATACTTCCAACCCCACTTCAGTCCCTAGTGTCAGGAGGGAACAATTTTAAACCGAAGCAATTACGTGTGAGCATTAGCACTAGGTACATAATCACTAAAACGAAGTGTTTCCATCCTGCTCCACCCGGAGCTTTCGGGAGTGAAGTCCCTGCCTAAGAGGACCACAGAGAAGAACACAAGACCGGCAGCAGCAATCAGGAGCAATTGCACCTGCTAAGAAAGCATGGAGGGGAAAGGGGTGCATGGTGCCACACAGGTGACACATGACTCTAGAACTCAGAAGGAAGAGTCAGGATGATCACAAGTTCGAGGGCAGCCTGGACTATTTAGCAAGATCCTGTTAAAGGGGGCGGAGGTGCCTGCTAGTAGAACAACCATGACAGGAAAAAGCTTTCAGTGTCTTATTCCTGGCACCTGGTGGTGCTACCCTGGATACCCTTTAAGCCTTCCCCGAGGCCTAAGGTACAAACTGTGAGTCCTCCCTACAAACCGTGTTCAAGCGGCAGCCCCTGGCATTTATCCCTTGAATGCACTGCAAGGAGATAGGCCTTCTTCCTGACTCTCATCTCTGTTTTGACTTTCCATAAAATCCAAGTATTGGGATGAGAGGAGAGGAGAAGAAAAGAAAAAGGGCCTGAGCCATGATTACTCTCAATTGAAAGTAGAATCGCCAAATACTAAGGCACTCAAGAAGGTGTGACGTGTAAGGTGTTTCCAGTGCCCGTGTGTTTGGGCTGGGCTGCACAGGCACAGTAAGACATAGCTCCAAAAGGAGAGTGACACCAGAAGAAAGGAACTACCTACCACAGGGTCCTGGGGGAATGCAGCACAAAGGAAACAGAACATACCACTCGGAGGTGGAAAGACAGTGTGCACGCATCTCCAGAAGCCATACCTGCCCAAGGCTGTGAGTGCATCCCACCCTGCCATCAGCACACTTACGTTTCTCCTGCACATAGAGGTACCCTTCCATGGTGTAGGGGCTGATGGTCTTGTGCTCAAGGGGATTTTCCTTCATCTTCTTCATCAGCGATTCCACTTCAGACCTGGTTCCTTCAAAGCGGTTTCTTGTCTGGAATGAAAGGAATTTTGCTCAAATGATCAAATGCAGAAAAAAAAATGAAATCTCAGAAGATCAGCCTAAACAGACACCTTAAATCTAAAAACAAATACGAGCATTCAATGGTCTAGGAAATGTGCAAATATCCACTTGTAAAAAAAGTACATCTTTGCCTTACAGTCCCATACCAGAAATGACTTAAACTCTAGCAACCACCAAGATCACCTAGGAAACACGTGAACACCCAGCCTAACTCCTCAAGAGTGAGTGGCAACTCTTGGACCAGGAGAGGGTGTTTAAATAAGCATTCCAGAATAGCATAACTACTTGCACACCTTTAGGATTATGGGCCTCACCATTCCAGTTGCAAGAAATGTAGCTTGCTGATGGCTCATAGGTGGCACTCTCCTAAAAGGGGTGCTACTGGCTTTCTAGGTCATCCCCTCACCCAGAGCAGTCTGAAACTGTGGGCTTCTACTCAGGCTCACTCAGAACCCCCGCAGCACAGCCTAAAGCCTCCAGCTGCAGCTGCATCATGGCCCAGTGGCCCAGCACCCTCCGTGTTCAGTCTCTCAGAGGCACTGAGTTATTTACTGCCCGTGAATCTCTATTTCAAAGCCTGCCTTCAGAAGAACCTGGGACTGGGGTCCAGCTTGCCTAGCATGTATGAGGACTTGTGTTTCATCCTCAGAATATATATATATATATATATGAAACCATGCTTAGTGAAACCATTTCTGACTTGACTTGACTTCTTGGTTCTCCAAGTCAACAAAGAACCACCATGTAAGATCCAAACTTCTGAAGCCCATGCAGGACAAATGATGCAGAAATACCTGGATCTAGTTCCTACACAGGAGTACCTTGGGACCTGTAGCCAATCCCAAAGTGAGAGGAGAGCTTTCCCTATGACTTATGTCCCAAATCCCTTAAACAACTCTGCGCACCCAAAGGTCCCAGGTTTAAGCCACAGACGCAGCTGCATTTGGATGGTACTGACTTAGAGGTCCTGCCAGTCTTGCGAAGAGCCTAGCAAGAGCACACCATTTGAGTTCCCACCCCTGGACACTCATGTAAGGCCTCGGGTGGCCAGCTGCTTGCACAGACAGCAGTGAGGCTGGGCTGGGCTAAGCTGGGATTTCCACTGCCAAAGGAAATCCTGACACTGCTGTGAAACACACACAAAACCAGCAGCAACACTTCCAGGAACAGAAATGATGCCTAGACCTGGGCCATCTTACATTCTAGAAACATCAGATCCCCGCTGTCCTCTGAACCCAGCCGGGAACCCACCTCACGCACCTCATTCCAATATACAAGGAGAACTCAGGAGCAAACACACCCTTTCCCTCTCTGGTCCCTGCCCCCACTCACATTTTGTATGCTGATGGTCAACTGCGTCTTAAAGTCACCAAAATCCTTGGCCAGCTCATAACCATGGTGATAGAAAGTGAAGAGTCCTTGCAGGAAGGCCAGTAGCTGTAGAGAGGGAAGAAAGGCAGAGGTCACATAGGCCAGCCAAGAAGAGAAAAAGTAACAGGATCTGAGTTTCCAACGCTGTCTGGGAAGCAAACAGGTAGTAATGAGGACAACTAACACACATTGAGCAGCTCTGTGGGCGGAATGCTGGGTCCTCCCACGCCCTGTATCACTGAATGCTCACATCACCTAGGACTTACATGTTAATAGGACCCACTTAAATAATAAGGAGGCACCTCCGGAGGCTAAGTAACTTGCCCTCTACTTGGTGGTGAGTGTTAGCCAGGATCTGAAACCTGTTCTCCTTGGCACCATTGCCTAGGAACATCACCTCTTCAGAACTCCAGGCTGAAGCTGCACCTTAGCTGCTGAACATTAAAAACACCAGGTTGTCACATGGACTCAGAAGGCATTGAGGAAGCTGGTGAGCTCTGAGCCTGTACTCTAGCCATCAAAGTCAAATCATAGAAAGTCACCCAGAATAGACTTCCACCAAGGGGCATTGCTGTGCATCCTTCAACTTCCCCGCAGTAAATACTAAAAGCCCCCTTACAAAGCAACCACACACCTCCCTGGCTTCAGTTATGCTAGGTCCCTTGACTCTCTGACTCTCGTTTCAATCCCCTAAGGCTAACAGGTGAGTGCACTCACGGTCTCGTCTATGCCACACAAAGCGGTGAGAACACCTGCTCACCACAGTTTCTCACAGAATGCCTTCGTGTTCTCAACAACTGCCTATGCCCCACCAACAACGCTCCTGTGTATTTCTTCACCAAACTGACACGTGAACCTCCCAGCCCCTTCCTAAGTCCTCCCCAGATGGCCCGCATTCACAGTTTTGACATGAAGAAGGGGCTACAGTCAAAGGGAGAGCAAGGCTGGGAAGAAGCTGTGCTCTGTGAGGTCACAGCTGTTTGCTGAGTGGTCCACGGTGACCTCCAGACCCCACCACCACCCACTAGTCAGAAGTGCATCTGTTTCCCTTTGTGCTGTTGCAGTTAGCTTTTCAGCCCTCCAAGAACACATCTGTACTCATTTTCACCCCCTCCCCTTTGCAGAGAGGCAGCTCTACTGAGGCCTGGGAAGGGATTTCCCCCTGCACTTTGCACCGCTTCTGGCAGGAGTGATTAGCACCAGAGGAGGGTGCTACCACCAGGATAAACCACATGCCCAGGCCAGCCTATCACAGAACTTTGAACCAGTGTGAGCACAATGGCAGGAATGAGTGTGTTCGAGGACGAGTCACTTGTGCCCCTGGACGTGGGGAGGCAGGTTCACTAGAACTCCTTATTTGTTCCTTTTCCCAATGTGGCCACACTGAAGAAATCTCCTCTTCACAATTACCTTTGCTAGAATTGGTATACTGAGGCTGGATCAGCAAAGCTACATGTTACAGCTACTAGGACCTGTACTAACAACTTCAAAAGGTCATATAAAACCAACACTATATTAAAATAGTAGCTTGACCTCCCTCTGCTCTGTCCCTTTATATATTCCCATGGGAGGTCGGGGAGTAGGCATCACTCAGAGCACAGATGGAACATGGTTTCAGCTTCATGAAGTCAAGGTGTCAGTATCTACAACCCACATCTCTAGAACATGAGATGTCTCAACAAGAAGATAAAGGCTTCAGGCACACATACCAGATGGGTGAGTGGAAGGGAGGGAGGGAGAGGAGCAAGGGAAGGAGGGAAGGAGGGAAGGAGGGAAGGAGGGAGGGAGGGAGGGAAGAAGGGAGGGAGGGAGGGAGGGAGGACAAATGATTTAGATCTCAGAAGTCCAACTTTCCGTCCTTGGACTTCACTATATAACTGAGTATGATTGTGAACTTCTGATCCTCTAGCCTCTTCCTCCAAAGTGCTAGAATTATAGGTGTATGCCATCACATCTGGCCTCTGCAGTGCTAGGGATCAAACCCAGGGCCTTGTGTATTCTAGCAATCACTTTATCAACTGAGCTACATCTCCACCTCCTGTGTTTAGTTTTCTAGAGGCCAATCACATACATATCCTGGCACTTAGAGTTATTTTCTAAGAAACAAGTTAACATGGTTGATATGTATGTAGGTTAGCCTTCCAGGGAACCTACGTGCTTAGTGACCAATACCTGTGTACCCAGAAACCTCTTTCAGTGGATTCTTGTAGCTTCCTTTCTGCCTGTAATCAGTCAGATGCCATTCCAGCTCTCCAAGTGGTAGAAATTCCAATTGTCCTGTTCTATCCCAATCCTAACATTTAAGGGGAGGGCCTGTAATCTGCATGTTAGGGAGCCCCTAGGGGGGGTCTTCTGCACAGTGCTGTTGAAACTACATTGTACAAAATGAAGTAAGTCCATGCTTTCACATCTTTACCTTCATCACGTGATTCAATTCTCAAAACATCTGCAAGGGTATGGGTTGGTTTTATCCCTATTTTCCAATGAAGAAACACTTAGATGCAACCTTGTGCAAGGTCTCATCTAGTAGGCAGCAGAGCTGGAATGAGGGAATGAAGAAGTGGAGGAGGAAGGGCAAGAGGGAGGAGAAGAAGAAGAACCCAACAGAATGAGCCAAGTCAAGCCTGCCTGTGCAGCCTGACTTTCCAAGAACGTGAGTAGTAACCATCTACTGTGTGAGGGTTTGTGCTTGTCAGTCACCTAAACAAATGGGTATGAGGCCTTACTTGTCAAGTATGCCTACTGAAAGATCAAACTCAAAAGTCAGATGGGCCAGCTGGGATAATACCCACCAAAAGCAAGAATTCTCTGCTTAAGAACACTATTTTTTAAATTTAGAAAGGTCTTTCTTATGGCTAAATATTTTTTAAAAAACTCTTCACACATGAACACATTTTGACAAAATCCATTCTTCTCTCCCCTCCCAACCCCTCCCCTCTCCCTTCTCTATCTCTTTTCCCAACCTTCATGTCTCCCTAAAGTCTTCCTAATGTGGAGCCCATGCTCAGGTGCCACAGTAGGCAGAGCAGCACCACAGCTGAATGGAATCCTAACAAGGATGGTACAACCATCAGGTCAGACTTTTTCCCACATGGCACTCTTTCATGCCCAGTGGGACACTGGCCAAGTCTGGATTCCATCATCACAGTGCCCTCAGCAGACTCTCTGTACTGCTCTGCCTGTGAGAAATCACCTTACGTAAGAACCTCTCATAGAACTTGACTGGGGCGGTAGGGGCTCTGAAGCCAAGCACAGAGTGAGAACACTACAGTGCACCTTCCACTGCTTCCCGAGTCTGGATGGGCAGAAGAGTGCGACAGAGCACAACTACGAGACGGTGACCATTTCCAGACAAGACGGGAGCCGTGCCCCCTGGAACCCCACTCACACTTGCCCCCTGCAGATCAAATAGTGTAACAGCAGGTGGCCAGAGGCAGGAGCTGATGCTGACTGTACCATCTCCATCACTGAGTTGTCTAAAACAGCTTCCATGCTGGCAAGAGACCAGGGAACCAAAGTGGCAGGGCTGTCCCTGCTGGGCTGGGGCTGCTCTACATTCCCCTGTGTTTGGGCAGCAGTACCACTATCATGTGCTGGGTGGTTCAGGCGAAAGTAAACAGCTACTCACAGGCTCCACAAACTCAAACATCTTTCTCTCTTGGACTTCCTGCACCTTAAAGACATACTCCAGGGACACTTCATAGAAATGCTGCCGGACCAGGTCCACTTGGCTGTCTGCCTGCAAACAAGACAAAATTGAACAGAAAGCCAAGTTATCACCTAAGGAATAAACTAAGCAAGGAGAAAATATATGGTGGTGAATTTTTAAAAGAAACCAAACAGCACGATACCAAAGAAAAATGGTAAGCTACTGAACATTATGCCAAACACTAGTCTATGGATGAATACATACACACATACACACACACACACACACACACACACACACACACACACACACACACACACACACACAAATACACATGTGCATGCACGCGCACACATGCATACCCTCTAGCTTGACCTACCAAGCAAAATTATTTTGTATTTCTTGAAAGAGACATTCTTCAGAACTTTAAGTTCCACAAGAGCAGATCCTTTGTTTCACTCCCACAAAACACCCATATCCTGAACAGACATCCACAGTAGTGTCCAGTGAATATTAGTTGAAGAAACAATATTATTTTGGGTGCAAACTTCATAGCCATTGGGTACAAACACTACTTTTTAGAATATCATCACCATCCACTAGATGGCAGCAGCATCCCACACTGCTGCCCTTATAATGTCTCCCCTCATAGATGTATGGACTCAAAAGGAAAAGCTCCAAGAACAGGGAAAATGGTGGCAGCTCCATGGATGCCACACTGACTTTCCAAATTAACTACTTTTTAAAAGAACTTCCAATAATGTTGTTTTTAATTCAAATCCAAGAAAACCTGGAGCAGGTCAGAGAAATTTTTCTTTTTTGTGGTGGGTGGTGCTGGGGATCAAACCATGCACGGCCTTACACTCTGTCATTAAGACTATACCCACAACCCTTGTTTTTTGAGACAGGATCTCTCTATGTCACCCAGGCTGGCCTTGAACTCATAATCCTCCTTCCTTGGCCTACCAAGTGCTGGCATTACAGGTTTCTGCCAACATGCTCAATCAAAGAATATTTTATTAAAAAAGATTAACAACATTCCAAATACATGTATGACATTAAGATACCACTAAAACTAAAAAGAGGAAAAGATAAGTATCAAATGCTATGTTGAAACAATTAGAAGTTATGATTAAGGAAAGATAACCCAAGTATTTCAGATGCCAGTCTTGTAAGTCACTAACACAAGTGAGCGAAAACGCAGCTCTAAGGCTGAGGGGGAGAGAAACAGCAAGCAGATCACAGCTGGAAATGAAGAGGCACAGCCAGAGATGGACACAGCCAGAGATGGGCACAACCCATGCAGGAGGTAGTGGGCAGCACTGCTCCTCTGCCACTAGCAGTTTACAGAGCAGGGAAGCGGGACGCAGGAGGGCATGGCCCTGGAGGAGGCTTCAGGATGGAGCCCCTGTTTCTCAGGTCTCCTCCAAACAGCAGGCAGCTGTTCACAAACAGCAGGCAGCATGTCCATATATCTGCCCAGCACCATGCGAAAACTAACACTATGTGGGAGCGCTGTGGTTTCTTACCTCCTGCAGCTGGGACTCCTTCTTCTTAGAAGACAGATTCAAATGCTTTTCTAAGATGCCACAATACTTCTCTGTCTCTTTGTCATACTTCTTTTTGGCTTCCTGGGGCAGGTGCAAGGAGGGAAAGGGTAAGAGGTTACAGGACTGAATTAGCTGGATCCCTCAGGACCCTTGTGTGCTCACAGTTAACCATACCCTCTACCTGACATGATGATGCCCCTGCTCTTTAGATAATGCCCATCCAGGGCAGGCCACCCTCAAAACAAAAGCACAAGCATCACTGCTGCCCACACATGGGGCTTGTGATGGTGACAGCATGGGACACCCAGGAAGTATTACCCGTCATCGGAAAGCCTGGATTATGACAGACTGGAAAGCAGTGACATCGTGGTGCAAACCTGGTGTCACCTATGTAAACATGAGTCAAGGAGATGAGACATGGGCATTCTTTCCTTTTGTTGAGAAGTTTTTATTAGCTTAAATTACTGTCTAAAAATGAAAAATAATTTAATAATATACATATCAACCTGTGTTCTCCCACCAAGTTCTTGAGTCACCAAGGTTCTATTTTTATTCCCCATTTTATAGGTAAGAAAACTCAGAAGGAAGCCAATTTGCAAAATGTCATAGAGAATGGCAGAGCTGACATCAAGCTAACGCTGTCTGCCTTTAAAGCCCACGCTCTGCCCACTTGAGACACGGTCACAAGCAGTCTCCTTGCTCTCCACACCACCGTGGGCAGGGCTAGGAAGCCACTCAAGTCCAACACGAATGCTCAGGCCCACTAGCTCGGTGTGTCAGTCTGATTCGGACCCATCCGGGGCCCAAAGGAGATATTCTGTGCAACTCTAAAGCCTGTAAGAGAAAGGTGTTTCCAGCCAGATAAAGAAGGCATCTTTCTATACAGCTAACTGATTCACGACTAGCAATCACTCTATCCTAGGCTCTACTGGGGGCAGTGACTCCTCCTCTCGTGATGGGAGCATTGTAGTGGAAAGAGAAACACAATTGACCAGGAAACGAATAAGCAGTATAATTACAGACTACTGCAAGAGCTTTAAAAAAAACAAAAAAAGAACAGAGAGTACTCAGGAAAGGCCTTGGTGGGGAGAGATGTAAACTGAGCCCTGGTGAACACCTGAGGAGGCAGGGGGGAGGTTCCCAGAAAAGACAGCCGCAGTGCTGACATTCTAGGGCAGACCACTCTGAGCCAAGAAGTCCTACCAAGCTCCAGCATTTCTCCAGTCAACAGCTAGCTCCTAAACCTCACCGAGAGCAGGGAATGATCATATACACGCTTAGCAGGCATGGATCCATTCCAACAAATCTGAGTGAGGCTTAAAAGCCTCCTCATCCTCAAACCATGAAGAAAACAAGCATGAGTGAAGAAAAGGCTCATAGAAATACTGCCCCTCCAAGTCTGAGAAAGGTCCAGGCAAGCAACTCTTCTCTAGGGATCCGTAAGCTTGGTGCTGGAGTCCAACTCCACTCAATGCTCACATCATACATATCTACTCTCACTACCCTAGTGGCCAGCAACCCCACAGAGCACCCTAGGGCCAGGCAGTGCCACTAGTCAAAGGTTAAGAAAGGCTGGAGGCATGAGTCACTGGCATTTTGTAACCTACAGGTGACTGGAGCCTCCAGAGTCCATGGTCACTGGAGAGTCACAATTAGCTCCATGCTAAGGCAGCGCCCAGTACACCAGTGCCGCGTCTCCGTGCTATCACACAATACTTGACCAGAGCAACTACAGGAGGAAGGGCTTTCTTCTGGCTCAGTTCCGGCGTCCAGTCAATCACACGGTGCTAGGAGTCTGAGACAGCTGGTCTCACTGCACCCGGCGTCAGTAAAGCAGGGAAGATGAGTGCTGGTGCTCAGCTAGTCGCTTCCTCCTTTTTGTCTTTAAACAACGTTGTGTTTTATTACGTGCATCCCTGTGTGTCTGTGTAGGGGTATGTGCATGAGTGCAGGTGCCCTTGGAAGCCAGAAGACAGAAGCTGAATGGCCTGGAGCTGGAGTGACAGGCTGTTGTGAACTGCCTGAGGTGGGTGCTGGGAACTGAACTCAGGTCCTCTGGGAGAACATACATGGCCTCTTAAGTGCTAAGCTATCTCTCCAGTCCCTTTGACTACCATCACTCTCCAAGACTCAACTTTCTCCTCTACAAACACAGGGTGTCTAGATGAGATCATTGTTCGAGTTTCATCTTCCAGCTCACAACTCCTCAATAAAGTAAGAACACTCGCTCTTCACACGGTTACTTGGACTAAATGAGTTAAACTACATACGGCACTTAGCAAAGTGACTACCACATGAATAGCACTCAGTATGCTTCAATGACGGTAAGAATGATGGGAGGAGTGATAATTGTGGTGCCAGTGGTAATGGTGGTGTGGTAATGGTGGTGACAGAGGCCATTGGGAGTACTGGTAGTCGTACTGATGGCGCTGGTGGTAGGAGTAATTGTCATAGTAATGGTGGTGGTGCATGTGGTAATGGTGGTATAGTGGTGGTAATGATGATAAAGATGATAACGGTTGTGCTGGCAAATTTTATGTCAAACTGACATGAGCTAGAGCCATTGGTGAAGAGAGACCCTCAGTTGATAAATGCCCCCACCATAGTGGCCTGTAGAACATTTTCTCGATTGATGATTGATGTGAAGGGCCTAGTTCACTGTGGGTGGTGGTGCCACTCCTGAGCTGGTGATCCTAGGTGCTATAAGAAAGCAAGGTGAGAAAGCCATGAGGAGCAAGCCAGTAAGCAGTGTTTTCCCATGGCTTCTGTTTCCGTTCCTGCCTCCAGATTCCTGCCTTGAGTTCCTTCCCTGACTTCCTTGGGCGATCCTCTGAAGTGGAAGGTAACTAAACCCTTTCCTCCTCAAGCTGTTTTTGGTCGTGGTGCTTTATCCCAACAACTGAAACTCTGAGACAATGATGGTAATGGTGATAACTGCAGTAATGGTGGTGATAGGCTGGTGGTAGTGGGGGTGCTGCCACTGCTATTGTCACCGGTGATGACAGTAATGATGGAAATGGTGACGTGCTGGTAGTGTGATGGTGATAAGGTACTTGTCACTGGCAACCACTTCCTTTTCATCAAATGCAACATTTGACTTGTAAGTCTCAGCTCAACGAAGGTAACCTTCCCTAAGCACATACCACAGTTTGGAATTAGACATTTAGCTTTGTGTCTGATGCCTTCCTCTCAGCCAGGACAACCATATCTGCTTGACATCCACTAACCCTAACTGCAGAATATAGTGCTGGGCTCTCACATATATTATTTTACGTTTGTTTTTAACTATGTATATATGTGTGTGTGTATCTGCATATGGGTTTATACATGGGAATATGTGCCCTTAGGGGCCAGAGGAGGGCATCAGATACCCTAGAGCTGGAATTATAGGCAGTTGTGAGCAGCCCAATATGGGTCCTAGAACGAAACTCAGGTCCTCTGCAAAAGCAAAATGCACACTTACCCACTGAGCCACCTCTCCAGTCCTTCCCATGTACTCTGAATGATTTATGTGTACCTAAAGTCAGAACCACAGATGAATGACTACATGACGAGCACTGTCCTTCTGTTCAAACGGCTACAGGTCACATATTACTTTAAGTACCTTATATGAATGCACTCATTGATTCTTAGGAACGCTATGGGGCAAAGTTTTATTATCCCTTTTTAAAGATGAAGAAATAGGGATGTGGAGGTTTAGAAACCTCCCAAGTTCACAGGCAAGTTGCAGAAGTAAAATTTGGAATAAGCAGCCAAGCTCTAGACCCACTCTTAACCACCACTGTCAGATGTCTATTCTACTTTCATTACAGAGCACAGCATTACCACTCCACCTCCTGTACAGAAGAAGCCAACTTGCTCACTTCAGAAACATAAACTTAGGGCCACGGTGACGTCAAGATCTGAAGCCACACTTTATTCCTGAGCGGCCTCTAAGACAAGAATACCCAAGGGCCCTGTTACGGTTGGTGCTAGTTGTCAATTTGACAAAACCTGGAATCACCTGGAAGGCAGGCTGCCACACACCTATGGCAGATTATCTTGATTGTGCTAACTGAGGGATGCAGCAGTCAGACTAGGATCCTGCATCGTACAGAGAGAGGACCTGAGGAGAAGGCGGCACTCATGGGATGGGACCACAGCTGCCTCAAGCTCTTCCCCCTGTGACTCACGGTACACTCTTTCCTGGAACTGTGAGCTGAAATGAGCCCTTCCTTCCTTAAGCTGCTTCTGTCAGGGTATTCGATCACAACAACCACCAAAAGAATCTAAGGTAAACTTCCCCTCCTGGCAGCTTTCACATGGACCCCTGTGCAACAGGTTGTTATAGCAACCAAAGCAGCAGCAGAGAAGAGAGGCAACAGAGGAAAAAAAAAATAATCTTAGCATCAAACAGGCAGAGTTCGGGAACAAGCTCCTGGCCACCCGGAACAGGTGAAGAGCCCTGCCGGCTCCTGGGGTGTCTCTGAGGTGCCTCCCTGGGTTGCCTTTCAGCTTGGTTTTCTCTTCAGTTCACGTACCACTAGGATATAAATGTGTGGGTGGGTGGAGTGGCGGAGAGGGACACGCACTGGGAAAGAAAACAAGAAACGACAAAGGAGGAGGGATGAGAAGTCAGCCCAAGCGTCAAAATGAATCATTAATGCTTTGGTGACTAAGAGACTCAGCATGCCTGGGGGAAGCTTAGAACAGTGACACACGTCCCACCTGTGGGCAAAGGTGCATGTTCCTGTCGCAGGATCACTGTGCTGCCCCTCCGGCAACTATGGTAACTCGAAAAACAACACAAAGAAGGGCCCGCGTGGGAGGGTGTCTGTGCTTTCCAGGAGAAGCAGCCAATGTAAAGATGCCAGGCAGGTCAGCTCTGCATTGCCACAGCTTGACAGGAGCCTCTGCCATGGGTGTCTGGACACAGGAAATACAGGCCCAGGCCACTCAAGAGAAGGCTGCTCCCTGAACCACTGAGAGTTCGCTGGCCATATATTCTCAAATATCACAGAGAGGTTCAGTCATGGACAAGAGTCTTAGGAGAACAAGACTTCAAATTCTATGTTCCTTCATCTCTGAAACAAAACCAATGCATACTTCTTTCTTCCTAAATGTCAATGGGTACAAATCCGCTGTACACTAGGAGAAAAATCCTTCCATGGTCTTCCCTTCAAACTAAGGTCAAGCATCCTCTAAAGCCTTGACCAAGTATCATCCCTTTCAGTAGGCATGTCTATTTCTAGAAAGCTGGAGGGAGGAACCGGAAGGCAGGGAGGCTACAGGGAGAGGAATAAGCTCGCTTTTAGATGACTTCTCTAGGACAGTTTTCAATGCAAAATCTACAGTAAGTGTGGCATTGCCTCAATACCCCCACCCCCCTGCAGATGGCTCAAGGGGCTGTGTTTGAATTCATCACAGCTCTAGAACATCAGGAAAATGTGGGGCAGACAGCCTTTTGCTGCCATTGATTAGGATGAAAACATCTCCCCTGCAGGGGGCCTCGGAAGTCAGCCAGCTAGTTTAGCTAGTGACTTAACTCAAGGCATGGGAACAGGCTTCCCTCTGCCCTCTTCTGGTAACACACTACAAAAATTAGCTTGCTCCGACATACTCTTACTGGGTATACCAACCACACTCAAGGTCTGGGCCGTGCACAACAGTAGATGGACAACACAAAAGCAGCTCAATGGTATTTCTGGAGGGGTTTTGTCTCACAATGCTTTGTCTGGTCATTTTTGGGGCCTTACAAGTTGTTTATATATTAAGGTTTCTGATTTTTGAGGTTTTATGGGATTTCTAAGTGTGCAAGTGTGTGTGTGTGTCTGTCTGTCTGTCTGTCTGTCTGTCTTTCTAATGCTTTTTCTCTGGTTCTTTTTTTTTTCTCCTGTTTGTTTTGTCCTATTCTGGTTTATTTGTTTTGGGGTTTAGGGGAGGTTGTTTTGTATTTTAGTTGTCTGTTTTTTAATGACAAAGAAAAAGTTGTAATTTGAGTGGGTGGTGATATAGGGAGAATCTGGGAGGAGTTGGGAGAAGGGAAACCATCATCAGACTATAATGTACTTTGTTTAATGAGACTTATGAGAAGTCCCTGTGTCCCCAAGGCCTAGTTCATAACTGCTTAAATGCAATTTTGGTCCTTCTCCACACTCAAAATTACACAAAAGATGAGTAGACCAACCAGTCAGCCAAATGTCCAGGCCCACAGCCACCTAGCACAAAGAGGCAGCGCCTCTACCTTGAGTTGTTTATGAATTAGCACCAAACAAACAGGTAACAAAACATTGGGGTGGCTGCTGATGGTGGCCACAGAGGGCTGCACTTCAGCCACTTGCAAATGCAGAGGAGCTGGGCTGTGGCCTTGTCTGGGAGGATGTGCTGGAACTGGGGGAAGTGCTGCAGTTTTCAGGCTCCACCCTAAAGCACAAGAACAAAGTGTGCAAACTCCTCACCCTGGCAGCCCCGATCTGCTCCTTTCGAAACTTCTCCAAGGGTGTAATGAGCACCTCGCTGGCATTTTCAATCTGATGAAGAAAAGCAGACAGCAAAGGCAAGATTAGTCATGAGGTACAGCAGCTCGTCCACATATGCCGCCCCCCAGGCCTCCGAAAAAAACCTGAGCAGCAATACAGTCCAGGTGCCATTGTATAACAGCCCCTTCAAAGAGAATCCGCTCAGCAACTCCAGACAGGACCTTCCTCCTGTGAAGAGTTCGCTGTTGTTGGCGACAGTCTCACTGTGTAGCCCAGGACAACCTGGGACTTACAGTCCTCTAAACCTCAGCCTTCTGAGCTCTAAAAGTGAATCTAAAGGGTAGGCAACCACTTACGGTTATAGGGACCTGGTAACAGAGGCAGTCTAAGTTTCAAGCTTCAAGTGACGTAAGCTCAGCATTCACCCAAGCTACAGGCAAAGTAGTCAACAGTGAGTCTCAGTTAAAATCCAAAACACCTTTGAACATCTATGGAAAAGACTTTTCAAGCATGATGAGTTCCTCAGGGAATTAACTGTGGCAGGGACCTCTGCCTCCTGACCACTGGCTGCCTCCCAACTGCATTGGACAGGGCTCAATCATCTGTTCCCACACTCTGATTCACTGATTCAGTGGACCTCAAATGCACCAAATCTGTCCTACCTTGGGACCTTTGTCTCTGTCTTTTCCCTCGGATGCTGTTGTACAGATTATAGTAAGGTTTCAGTTTAAATGCCACTTCTCTGTGGAGACCTCCAAAACTGTAATTCAGAGAAGCTGTCCATAAACCCAGCCTTTCAGAACACACAGGCGAGGTAGTTTTCTGGCTCAGTACTCTCTACCGACACAGACACCACCCCTGAAAACACTCACTCATCCCCAGTGTTCCCAAAGCACAGAAGAAATCAGAAACAAAGGCTCAAACACTTCTGAATGACCAAATGAGTGAATGGATGACTTCTTGACAAGCTGCCAAGTGTGCGGCCATGAACAAAACATTTAAATTCTCTGGACTCTAATTTCCTAATCCAAAAAAATGAGGGGGCTGAACTACTCTGGCTCTAAGATTCTATAGTCTTTTCTAAAGCAGTGAAATATTTTACGATCTTTACTCATTGCTCACTCTTCTCTCAACTAATTATTTCAGGAATCTCACTTCAACAAGGCATTATGTTCTCTAAATCATATGCATGCCCTTCACAATGGCAACAACACAGTAAATACCAGAGACTCTGGACGGACACAGTAAAGAATTGCCTGGACAGTATGAGGGACAGGAAAGGGCGGGTCTATATTTACTACCATTTGCCTGTTTCTTAAATTGAAAGCACGTACCTCTGTACAGTACATTTTAACACTGCAGTGTGGCAACAGTATCGAACTGAGAACTTATCTGATTTCTATTGATAACTGGTATTGTCCACTTGGTTTACGTGGGTCCTCCCCATACATCAACTGCCAGTTTCTCAGGTTCACAAAGGTGTGCTGGGTCCGTCGACGAGTGGCTTTCAACCTCAGCTGCACACGAGAAGTCCCGGAGGAGCTTTTACACACCCCGGCAGCCAGGCCATGCTTTAGACCAATAACTCAATCCCTGGTCCTGATTCCAGACATCAGTGGTTGTGAAGTCCCTCAGGTTATCCCAGCGGGCACCCATGCCGAGATGCTAGCCCTAAGGAGATCTGGAATACGCTCGCACTCAGGTGCTCCCATGGGAAGCAGGACAACCAGCCCTCACCCCAGTACTATTAGCACTATCAGTCTCGCCAAGACCTGTGTTCTCATCTGTCAAAAGAGAGACTGCAGACAGTGAGGAGGAACTGCACTAACGGTAAAGCACAGAGGCCGTTCTCTGCCCTCAAGGAACTCACATTTACTGGCCACACAAGGCCGTTCTCTGCCCTCAAGGAACTCACATTTACTGGCCACACAGATGCCTGCAGTAATTGTCCAGACACATGTGGTAAATGGAGAATCTGAGGAATGAACCAAATGTTCAGAAAACACAATGGATGGCCAAATATCCCAGAGAACCATGGCTCCTCCAAAAGGGTACAGCTTTGCTGCACTGAGCTGAACTGATGATAAAGCTGTCCCAGGGTGAGCAGGGTGGGAAGAGGCTTGTGACGGCCAGATACTCAGAGGCAGACAGCAGAGAGTAATAATAAAATTGCAGAGGCAAGTTGAAAAGAGTATAATCCAGTCATTGTTCCCCTACCACAGGCCACAGCAATTTGCAGGGTATTCATGGTGATTTGCTCACCACACCCCCTACCCCCAAATATTGACATGACCCTGAATCAGACTCACAAGAACCATTTCCCTCTCTCAGGAACCAGCATGAGCACACTCAAGCTTTCGCCTCCTTCTACCCACCACCACACCTGCCACTGTCACTAATGCTGCAATGTCGGTTCAAGCAAACAGCAGTCAGGAGTCAGAAGGGGGGGGGCTCTGCCAGGCAGGGTGGGGGGCTTCTGTACTCCTGAGAGCTTTAAAGAAATCCCCACATCTTCTGGTGTAATGCCAATCTGGGTTTGAATCGAAACTGCACAACTTATTAACCATGTGAGCCCGGACAGGCAACTTGGCCCCTGTAACCCTCAGTATCTTCATCTGGAAGATGGGCATGACACGGATGTGTTGTTGTTTTTATTTTACTCCTTTGGGAGGCCTGCCACCCAGCTCCCAAATAAATCACACATGGAGTCTTATTACTTATGAATGTCCAGCCTTAGCTTGGCTTAGTTTCTTGCCAGTCTTCCTTAACTTTAAATTATCCCATCTACATTTTGCCTCTGGGCTTTTCCCATTCTCTTACTTCTGTAAATCTTACCCTTACTCTGTGGCCGGCTGTGTAGCTGGGTGGCTGGCCCCTGATATCCTCCTCCTTCTCTGACTACTTCTTCACTCCTCCATCTCTTTTCTCCTCTCCCCTCCCAGATTTCTCCTTCTGTACATTCTCTCTGCCTGCCAGCCCTGCCTATCCCTTCTCCTGCACAGTAACACAGCTTCACAGAGTTAAACAAATGCAACATAAACAAAGTAACACACCTTGAAAGAATAGTCTACTACACAGACGAGGAAGTCAGAGTTATCACAAGAGCTACAGAGGACAGGACAGTCTCTGGCTACACCATTCTCATGCTGTCAGCAACTGCTACAGAAAGAGAAGGAAAATGCTCCAATTTGGGCATCCTTCTGCCACTGCCTACCTGGAGATGGGCCCCTACCCCAACCCCAGGTACAGGCCAGTGTGAAGCCTGCTGGGGGCTTCTGATCAGAACACTACCTGGGGGGTGTAGGAAACGCAGAAGGACCCCACCCATTAACGCCGAAAGACTTCACAGCAGATGCTGGTTTGAAAGCACTGTTTTGGAACCTATTGAATTTGCAGCGTCCCTCTCTGAGGAGCTCCCACAGTCACATTCCTTTGTCGGGTTGCATTTTCTGGCTGCCAGCTATGCGGCAGGTGCCTTGGGGTTAGAGTGAAGCAGCAATGCCTTCCCTCAAATGGCCACTGGATGGGTTTAATAAGTCACGGAGAAGACGACTGGGACACATGCTTCCTAAAGTTGACATTAATGTTATTCCTCAGTTATTCGTCCACTTTGCCACCTTACTTTTTGAGAGAGTCTTCTACTGAACCCGGAACTCACCAATTTGGACAGACTGACTGGCCAGCAAACCCTAGGGATTACAGGCCTGCACCACTGAACCCAGCCTGCTACATGGGTGTTGGGGACCTGAACTGAGGTCCTCAAGCTTATGCAGCAAGTGCCTTACTGACTGAATGATCTCCCCAGACCTGCAGTGAATCTTGAGAATGCTGATACTCTTCCAAAGCTATGCACCAGTTATTCTTTAACATTCACAGAAAGCTTCAAATGCTGCAAAGGTTCCCAGCCTCAGAGTACTCCAGAGGCAGTCTCAACTTAAACCTGGGTCTTCTGACAGCAAATTCTTTGCCCTCTTAATGCACATAGACCGTCAAGGACCAAGAGCACCGAGGATACTCACCATGCGACTCCGCTCATCTTCAAGATTCCTGAGAACAGTGGCAAATTCTTGCAAAGATCTCGCTGGAAGGAAGAAAGAAGCCATGAACTGAAAGCAGAATGATGGGTGTGTAAAAGCAACTTACAGATTTAAATTCCTTATGCACACAGATGCCCAAAGTCAACCACTAAAGACAGGATGACCCAGAAATGCAGGTTAATTGCACCTGGAACAGCAGCTAGAGGATTTCTCCAAGGAAAAGAGCCGCCTCTTCCTGAGAGTTCCCAGGACTGCTGAGATGCTGGCAGGCTCCCAGCCCTGAGGCTGGAAGGGGCAGAGTTCCACTAAGGAGTTGAAGGATTTCCTGTCCAGGATTCAACCTCTTCAATCTTTGTTGCTGGGCTGCATCAGAATCCAACCTTTTCTTTGGCATGACAACTAGACAAATAGTACTGCGGGCAACAGAAGCCACATCTCTGGCATCTCCTTGGGTTCCTTCTCCCTGAGTTCGGAAGCCACTCATTAATAGAATGCAGCCCGCAGCACCGCAGTCAAACTCAGATGGTCTTTGCCAGAATTTTTCATGAAGGCAACAGGCACTTAGTGAAGTAGCCCCAGGTCACTGGGATACTTGGGCAATACTGGGAAAGCATCATGACTTACAAGGACACATTTTCATTGCTCTCAGCTACTTCCCAGATGTCTTTGCTCATACAAAACAGATCCTCATGTTCTGCTTGACAACAGACGAAAAATCATCTGAGCAACCTTAACTTTCTCAGTTCTTTTTATTTCTTTGGTATTGGAAAATTGAATCCAGAGCCTCACATTCACTAAGTACATGCTCTACCATTGGGCTACAATCCCAGCTCCAATTCTTCTTAGTTCTTCCTCCCTTTATGGCATCAACCAAGATGCCCAATATAAGAAAGAAGAAAAAAAAGAATATGAGCCCTAGCAAAGTGATGAGTCTTGACTGCACCAATGTGCTGTGCTCAGAGCTGCCTATGGAAGAGAGCAGGGGACAGTAAAGAGGGAGGCAGTGCAGCACGGTGATATACAGGAGCCCACCTCCTTCTCTCAATAAGGAAACTAAAGAGGAGAAAGGTGGGAACACAGTGAGCCAACCTCTGAGCTACTCCCGCTCTGCAGACAGTGACAGTTACATGGCTCCAGCCAACTGTTACCAGGCCAAAATGCAAGGCCACTAGATCAAATTTGTGAAATGTTTAAAGAAAAAAACCTAGAACTTGAGATAGGTTCCACTTACGTGGTAATTGAGTTTAAAATAAAAAGTCTACTAAGACATAGCACCATTCTCATCTCAGTCCATTAGCTAACACTGTGAAACCTTGAGCCAATTCTCTTTATCAGCTGAATCCACTCGTAGGTTCTCAGTACTGTGGCTGGGTTAAGGGAAAAAAAGGAGAGTGTCACAAAACCAGCCAGGACACTGAAGGAAGGTGGACAGGAGCATCATCACAGAACTCCCAACTTCCTCCTGCCACAGGACAGGGAGTGAGGCCAGCCCAAGGAGAAGCCCCACCCGACCTTCCTATCTGTGCCTTCCACTACCCACTGGATTTCTACCCTTACTAACAGGCCTCTCAGCCCAGGAGAAGGCTTGCTGGAATGAACAGCAAATGTTTCCATCTTCCAGGAGGTCATGACTTACCTATACACATCTCATCATCTGTTTCTGCATCTCCTATCCACTGAAATTTAAAGTCATTTAAGGAATCTGCAAACTTCCGCTTCGCTGAAGACAAATCTAACAAGAAAAAGAGGAAAACAGAAATTAATGAAATTAAATTGGCCTTCCTAGTTGTTGCCCTTTTTAAGTTCTTCTGTGTATACTTAGCAAGGTTTGTTCCTGAGACCATTTCACAAAAGAAATGTTAACTCAAAATAGTAAATACCTTTTTATATAACAACACTTGATATAAAGTATTGATTTGCTCTAAACATTTTTATTGCAATTGCTTTAACAATTCAAATTCTATGGGATAAAGATACAATTCAGTAGTAAAGTGCTAGCCTAGCACACCAAGCCCTGGGTTTGATAACCAGCACCACAATGGAGGTATATACATACATACATACATACATACATACATACATACATACAATTTTTAATCCTATGTCTGCTTCCTCCAAACACACTGAGACCTATCATCTCCATGTGACACATGGGAATATCACCACTTCAGGAGAACAAGGAGGAAGCCCTGGATCAGAAGCAACATCAGTCCCCATAGCCTACAGGTGCATGCTACCACACCTTCAGTGCGCTCGCTCATTCAGCTGCCCCCATGTGCGACTCTCTAACACATTCTGTAGATCCAAAAGAGAAAGCAGGAAGAGCCTCTGTTGCCCGGTCTCAAGGCATGAACACACCTAGCTTCCTCTTCCAGCTAAAGACAGACAAGGTCCAAGTTCTCAGACCCTCTCGGACCCATTTTCATTAGTCCACAGCTTGACAAATTTCCATCTGAGCTATTTTCCATAGTCACCAGAAGAATGAAGCCCTGGCGATGTTTTGTATGGGGATTTTCTTTAGAGGCCAACCCCACACATGGTATCTATAATGAAAACTCTCTGGGGCCCTTGTCAAATTTAAAAACTAAACTTTCCTTTAAGACAGTAATAAAAGCCAATGATCCTTCCTGAGCCCTCAGCTTCTGTTCAGGGCATAAAATCACCAAGGTACCTTTAAGTGGCCTGACAGACAAGGCTGCTCAGTACAGCGTGCTTAACTTAATTCCACAGGCAGCCTTCCTGCAGATTAGGCTAATCATTCAAATTACCATCTATCCAGGCTCCCCTCATTGAAGGGGAAATGGCATTAAGTTCCAACTCCCAGCGGAGGGTAATAGGAGGCATAACTCGTAACAAGGCCTGGATTTAATAAGATGGGAGGTTCTGGCTTCCCAGATCAACGTGACTCGCTAAAAAGAAGCCTCCCTTCCCTCAGTGGAAGGTCATTTAGGTTGTTTCCATTCCCTCGTTATTGTGAATAGAGCAGCAATGAACATGGCTGAGAAACTAGCTGAAGTAAAGGATGTCGAGTCCTTCAGGCATATGCCCAAGGAGTATTATAGCTGGGTCATATGGTAGATTTATTTTTTAGCTTTTTTGAGGGTGTGTGTGTGTGTGTGTGTGTGTGTATCAATAACTAAAGAAAAAGAGGCCATAAATTTGAGAGAAAACAAGCGGAGCACATGGGAGGTGTTGAAGGGAAGGAGAGGAGGAAAAATGAGGTAATTATACTGTAATTTCAAAACAGTTGTTTTTTGAAAGTATCCTTGACCCTCAGCACTTCCTTCTTTAGCTCCCATTTTCTCCCTTAAGGCTGATGATTCGCATCACTTGATTGTGCTTGGTTTGTCTCTTCTGGTATGTGCAGTGCGATCTGCTCGGAGTGTGCTGAACAAATGACGAAGAGGCATGATTTACAAACTCAGCCCCTAGTGGCCCTCCCAAACAAGCCAGAGCTGTTAGCAGAGGGTCGCCAGGCTCGGGGGAAGCTGCTGTTCTCAGTCTGGATCTCATGCTACTGACTAGCTCCTGAACCTCCTTCCCACAGCTCAGAGGGCATGGGTCCTAGGCAGAGCAGCCTGTTGTACAACACAATGGGAGGCTCGGCATGCAGGGTGGAAGAGAACACAGGACCAGTTTCAAACCCCTCCCTGGCACAGACGCTTTCACGGGAGAGTCCTGGATAAATCGTCCAAATATGACAGCAGGGAACTAGGCTTCTCTCAGAAGAAGAGGGTCTCCTTCAGAACACAGTTCACTGCTGGCAAGCCTAAAAGTCAGAACGCCGTGGGGAGCAAGGAAACTCGAGACTCTGGACAGGCCAGAGAGGAAAAAGAAAGGATGTTATTTCAAAGTGGAAGTGAAGGACCCCAGGAGCCTCAAGGCACAGCACAACAAATGTGAGTGTGGCTGTATGCAGTCACATTTTAGTCCAAACGTGCCCTCAATCAGAGCTCACAAAATAAGGCCTGAGCAAACACTGTGAGTAGGATCACTTCACCTCCTGCCTGACAGTCCTCTGTCTCCCCAGCAGGACAAGAAAGAGTTACACTAGCAACCACCTCAACAAAGTAGAAAAAAGGGCAATGCAGACTGAGTTTGGGAAGGTTTCCAGGGTGCACCTGAAAGGTTGTGCTGCCAGCAGCTGCCAACGAGGGTGAAGGACCAGCTCCTAAGGAACAACGGGGCCTCTGTGGGCCCTTCTCAAAGTGCTGCCTTGCCAGGTGACGGACAGAAAGCACCCTGATTTCACTGCCTGTTGGCCCACAGCAGATGGAGAGGCTAGATCTGGGCCTGGTGGAAGATGAGGTAATGAGCAGTAATGGAGTCAATACAGGGCTCCGGGCCAGGGAGCCTAACTGAACGGAATGAGAATTCCAGAGCCTGGAACCTGGGAAGGAGCTTACCTTGGACCTAGTAGAGAAGTCTTTCAGGGAAACTAAGTAGACACCTGTTGTTTTGCTTGCTCAGAATCTGCACCTGGCCTGAAGCACAGCATCTCCAGCTTGCTTGGAACTACCTTTCTCCGCGTGCATCCTACGAGACTCTGTTTAGAGAATGATCAATCCCGAACTCTTGCTTCCACCGCAACCAGCTTTGGAAGCTGGGCTCAAGTTTCAACTTTCTTACCTATTTATTAGCTATGTTAACTGACCCCAGACGAGTTATAAAGTGTCAGTCATTAGATAGAGTCTGGGAGGTCACCCCACAAGTGAGGGAGACCTACTATACAAGCACTTTGCACACTTGTAACTCATCAGTCCTCTGAACTGAAGTCCCTGGAGTATGTGGGGATTTGATATTGCTCACCCCCATTAAGATAGTCGCTCTGTGGTATTTGGTACAATGGTAAGACATAAAGTAAGAATGCTCAAAAATCATTGCCTCTTGCCTATTCCAACACAAAAGTATTAGTTATATCTTGATGTAAATCATCACCCTGGCCATACAGCTCTCAAAATGTATATGGAGCTTTCACTAGTATGTAAACAAGACCCAACCATGCACATTCCAGTAAAGACTCAAGGGCTGGTGCTAGGGCTGGGTGTGTGACATGCATCGTGCTCCCTGCTCATATAACCTCGCTGGTTCATGTTCAGGCAGCACAAGACACAGCAAGGAGCCAAACAGAGTCAATAAGGTTTACTTTGCATAACTGCTATGGCAGAAAAGCAGGATGCTGGCAGGGCAGAGCAAAGAGATCACTGCCTACATCCAAGAAATACAAAACCTGCTAGGAGACAAAGAAAAGAAGGATATGAAAGCAGCTACAAGCCTGGACCTTGAGAGATTGCTCCCAAAACCTTCTACTCACTTGGGTCAGAGGAAGGTGCCCTTCCCTTCCTGGGGATGCCATGATCTGCCTCAGCAAATTCCCCTACGTACAAAACCTGAGAGGCTTGAGCCCAGGCACGATGCTTCTTTACAGCAGAAGGCGTGAGATTATTTTTCAAACACTTTATAAAGCCACCTTAGTTTCACACAGCTTTATTAGTGATATCACAGTCAATTCATTCTCCCTCCTTGGATAAAACTTAGCATAACTGTGCACACTTGTATATACCCATATTATAAAGAACTCAAGGTAACCTTATAATTATATTTCATTTTGGTATATGCTGCATTTCTGTGCCCTCCAAATTATTCTAATTGTGTATAACTACCCTTAGGAATTTCCATTAGTCACATCTTTCTCTCCAGATACAGAGTGACTGCAGCTCTTAAAAGCGACTCTTAAGGTAAGAACTTGCTAGGATTTGGCCTCCCGGCCATAAAAAGCACAAGAACACCAATGTCCCCAGGCCTTGCTTGCTAAGGTTTCCATCCACTGCCCCATCATCCTGCATTTGGAATGATGCTGAAGCCATTCCCTGAGTGGTTTCATCTCATAACATCCAAAGGTGCCTCAGACCCTGGACAGTCACCTCCAAAATCTGCTATGCTGCCTTGTTTGGACACAGCAACACAAGCCAACTTACAGGTACCTGAGAGTCACCAGAGAAGACCCATCAGGAGAACTGAGAGAAAGACATGGTTCCTGAAGGACTCCCATTTACTCTTATCTCCACTCACAAATGAATTTCTAAACAGTCAAATCCAAACGCTTCCCCCATATATCCTCTTCTAAGATCAGCCAAGGACAAAGAACGGCCTCGCGTCTTGCCACACAAGTTGACACCTGCTTGTCAACCTAATGCACAATATTTGTCTCCAAGCCTGTCTGTTCTGCCCCCAAGCAGCTGTTAATTTTGCCAGCTCCTCCCATACCCTTCAATTCCCTCTATCCCAAATGGGTATTACTATTTGCCTTGATGGTTGACCCAGCCTTCTCTATTTCCATCCCTTTGGCAAGTTCTCTGCCCAACTGTGTCATACCTGTGATAGCTAGAGAGAAGACTAAAGGCCCTCTCAAGGCTTGAAAGACCCTGAGAATGTGACCTGCCACCTCCTGCTCTGGGTTCCAGCTGCCCCAGCCTAGGTAGTTCCTGCCACTGTGCCTACAGATCCTAAGTTCCTTCCTCCAAGAAGCCTTCATTGGCTTTTCTAACCAACCTAAACCTGACCCTATTTTTTTACTTCCTGAATGAACATTATGAAAATCCTCCTTCACAGAAATTTTGTGTTGGTTCATGTAACTCTGCAATGTGCCTTAAAGTAGTGAGTTCTACCAAGCAGGATAGTGACCCTTGGTGCCTAGCTCCAAAACTCAGCTCAAGCCTGGCTGTGAAAATA